CAACGCCGCAATTGAAGCAACGGCCTTCTCTCAGGTACTGTTCCTTGTCGCTCGTAGAGAGAATCGCTGTCTCCATCCGTGGCTTCGCCTGGTGACCTGTCATTGTTGACCGAGCGAATTGTCTGTCAAACGCCTCGGCAATCTTCATATTGTCATCCAGCGTCGCCTCCGCCATACCGCGTACTTGTGCTCTCAACGAAGGATACAAGCCGCGCTGGTACAACGAAATCTTCTCAATCTCGCTCATGTCTGAGAGGCGAGAGATCAGGGTCTGGAACTTCCCGCCATAGATCACTACCGAGCCCTGCTGGTTGAGGCTATAGAGCTCATCTCGGACGACCAGGTTCGCGTGTTGGCGCGTGAACCGGTCCACTATTTCTTTCATAAACTCAGGCCACAAGACCCTCCTGGACTTGAGCAAACTCACAACCCAGCATGCCGCGACGCCCTGTAACAACGGCACCGTATAAAGGAACCGCTGCTTCACGTCCAACTCCGCGGCATCATAGATCATGCTTATCTGTGCCAGCCAAGTCTGTACGTCCTCGTCAAGCCGTCCGCCAAATGTAGGAAGCTTGACGTTCGAAGGAATCTTGCCAGTTTCGGGTTTCGGCACACTCGCGGCTACTTCCAGCTGGGGCTTCTTATCTTTAGCTTCCGCGAGTTGCCGCTGGAGCTGTTGGTTGTCTGACTCCAACTGCTCCAACCGTTTGTTCATCGCACCCATCGTCTCACCCATGCGCTGTAGTTCGGCCATATCGTTTTGGGTATCTTCAGCGTGTTCGCTTAGAATCTCAGTATCAGATAAATCGCTACCAGCTATCAAACGAGGAGATGCTACCAGAATGACACGGCACTCTGGTAGCAGTCGGGAAAGTGTGATAAAGAAAAGCTAAATAAATATAGAATAAAGGCAGTTTGCAATAAGTGTCAAAAGTCAGGTTCAAATAAGTTCAATTCAAGTCGTGCGTAAAGTTATGAAGTCATCAAACAAGTCAATCGGTCATCTCTCGTCTAGTCCCTTGCAGGGCGGCTGATCCTGGGTGCAGAAATTACTTCTGGCGGCCTGTTTAGGCGCTGTGTTCCTCGGCTCTATGTTGATCAGTGATGAATTCCATCACAGGAAAGAGTTGGATACTTAGTCCAAACTTCAGGCCAATTGGGGCTTTAGCTCAGTGGGAGTAGCGAATGACTGAAGGCCGTAGCGGAATCATACAGCTAGTTATCATTAGGTCCCGTGTTCGATCCACGGAAGCCCCAACCTCTCTTTTTGTCTTTTTTTCCAGCATCGGCCGCCAAGTGTTTTTTTTTTCTTCTTTTTAATAATTTATTCTACTAGAAAAATATACTGCTTCTATAACAATAACACAGACACCGAGAGCCGTCGCACAGTTTTATTATTTGGATAGACTTCAGTGTGGCTGCATAGATGGAGACGTGGATAAATATTTGCCCTCAAATGTGTCTTGGTGTAATGTAGTCGCCCCAGGACTCGTGGCAGTAGATATTTTTCTTCTTACTTGGCCAATAGGTTGCTGAGAGTCAAAAAAAATTTCTCAAAAGGCATATGCACCAAGGTACTATGAACTGATGACCTCTGCAATAAAAATTAATGTAATCTATAGCTTTCAAGCGTCATTTTAAAAATATAAATACCAATAATTGATGTAGTAGTCTGCTGCCAACTTGTACAATCCTAAAACAACCAGTGGCGTTACTCTTCTTCTCCCATGTATGTATATTTTATTTTTAATAGCAGCATGTGCAGTCAAACGGACACAGCTCAATTACACCCTCGCCCTCACCAATGCGCAAGTCCTCCATGTGAAACACGCACAAGCCGTCCTGCGTGTACTTTGAGCCCTTGCCGCACGAGTCAGCAAAGTCGTCACTCTTGGGTGGCCTCTTTTGTTGTTGCTGAAAGGTAGTATTAGTCGCTGTTGTTGTATTTTCTAATGGTTAGCTCTTCTTCTTGTCCATCTTTTCCAAGCGCACCTAATTGTTGTTGTATTAAATGTCATTTTGCTTATTTATTAATTGGTGGTAGAATGATTTAGAGTAGGCGAATTATAACTATGCGAGAGAGTATTAGTTGGTATGGAGATTGCAGACTCTGACGATAAAGTGGGCTCGTAGTCTTTTACATGACTTGCCCACAAAGACTGAAGTAGGGGGTATCGATCCAGACCCAAGAACCGGAGTGGATGTGCAATGGCAAGACTAATAAGGAGTTGATCAGCAGCGTGCTGACGGAGCAAATGTGCCAAGAGGTCTGAACGCAAAGGGTCGGATATCGTGTCTACAGGCATTTAAGTGGCAGGTATAGCGAATGGAGCGAGCGACATTGGAGAGATCCTGTCACGCTACAAGGCGGAAAGTGCGCAAGTATCAGTGAATGTCTGTAGACCGAGAGTATAGCAAGTATCGGCCGAGTAAAAGTATCGCACAATGTAGAACATGTCTGGCGGAAAGAAAAGATTACCTATTGATATCGGCGGAATTCCAGTGTCTGGTGGTGAGCCCCAAGCAAGAACGACGAGATTACCGATTCTAGTAAAGCAGTTGGCGATATTATCCATAGCTGTGTAGAGGGCCTGCCATTTCCATGGAAGACAGGCACGGAGCTAATGCAATGCTTGTTAGCTGCTGAGAGACTTTAACGGAGCGCAGACCCCAAGCCTAGGCTAGACACCCAAATTAGAGCGTGACCTGCCTACAAGTGACTCGACAATATATTTTCCCACAAACTTCAATATTCGTACTAATATAATCTGTTGAACATAAAAAAAAAACTAACACCCGCTTGGAACAGTGCTGTCATCAGTATGACTGCCTCCGTCAGACCTGGGTGCATTAACGCCTAGACCACGCTTGGCAAAGGCAGCCCAGATGGCGCATTTATTCTTGCCACCAGTCAGATTATTCTCTGCCTGAATAATAGCATCGCGAGCGTCGATAAAAGTAGGGTTGCATGGCTGCAACTTCATGCCATCGAGCAATAGCTGCAGCATGATCGAATTGCCCTTGGTCAAGTCGTGAGCGAAAATGTCCTTGGCAAATCCATTCTTGTCAATCAGCG